GAACAAAACAAGGAAGATTACCAGCCTAGTTAAAGCTCTGATTATTGTAGCATTAAATAATGTCAATTACTGTAAATATAAAGGAAAACTAGAAAATAAGCAGTGAAATGTATAATTTTTACATGACATAGCATATTCACGGTGGAGGCCCACTTTTGTTGTTCAACCTCATCTCTAAAGATCTCTCCTGATAATCTGGACATCACTCAACACAACACCACTGCCACTGGAATTGTTGCCTTAAACAATCAACAGTTCACCAGGTCCCATCCACAAGTGACTGCATTATTTCCCAAACTGGTTTTTCTTCAGATTGCTTCATGTAGGCCATGAAAGTAGGAACTGCCTGTCCTCTGAGTGGGGCCAGGCACTCAGTACAAAATCACAACTATTTGATTAAGAATGAAGCAGTAAGTTAGTATGGGAATGGAACTTCATCTTACATAAAACCTGTGCAAGCCTGATACATGACAAATTTCCTTCAGCAACTGAAGTGAAAACAAAATACTGTAGATGAAAATACAGTAATGAATGGAAACTTCTTTAAGTGAAGTGTTAAGTGGAGTGTTTCTTTTTTAAAACTGGATGTTGGTACATCTCCAGGCTGCTGACTCTGCACATCCCTGTACTTAGAGGGGCTCTTCAAAAAACAAAAGAAACAAACAAACATACAGAGCTTAACTGATTATACATTCATATTTTCTTTGCTGCTCCCTACTATATAGTAACGATATAAGCAAATGTTTGTTGAAAATGACATTTTAGATAAGAGGCAATGTCAGTTAAGAAGTAGAGGTCTTAGCATTTCTCTATTGATCTGCTTTGGAAGTCTTGCAATTGTTTTTGAAGGTGACCCTTGCCAGTGACGATGTTTCCTTGGCAACAGAGATCACTGTTCCTGGCGCATAAAGAAAAGGCAACTCTGTTTGTTTTGTACTCAGATGCCACGTTGCTTCAAAGAAAGCAACAACCTCTCGTTTTTAAATCCTGACCTGCTCTCCAGTTCAAGGATTGCATGTTATTCTAGAATATGCAGATACAAGTAATTATCAGGCAATAGTTTCTCCATCTCATGAAGAGCACAAGACCTTTATATTGAGATTTTTTTTCATTCTCCTTTTTTAATTACCCCAGTCTTTGTGTCTTGCACACCCGCACACACATGCACACACACACACACATGCACACCCTTCTTCCCCCCATCTCACCCTCCTCCTTTCATTTTCTATTGTAAATGCATGTACGTCTTATAAAGTCTCTGCTTTCTGTTTGGTCTCTATTTTACTGGTTTTCTATTCCCAGTAGTGGCTCCTGAGTACATCTCAGTTTCTAACATCAAGCAAATTATGGGTCATCATGAAGCATCAACAATTCATGGCCCAAAGAGTCCTCCTTGGAGCAACTGGCAGCAGGTGGCAGATAGTCCCTTATTACCACAAGATGAAATGGAAAAGCATCATAGACCGTGAGAGTAAAGCTTCCTTTTCCATCTGATTGACTTGGAAGCTGCCTAGGGAATTAGTAAAACACACTTCTGGCTGTGCATAGCTGGGTCATAGAGGTATGATTTTAGGAGTCTATATCTGGTCCTTGGCTCTTCTTTGATGCTGTTCCCTGCTCTGCTTTCCCGGCTGCCATAGACTGAGTGCTTTTGATCTGCCACACCCTTCCGCCATGATGTTCTGCCTTAGATCCAGCTGACTATAGATCAAAGTATGAGCTGAATTAAACCTCTCTTCCTTTAAGTTGAGGGGACCAGGTATTGGTCCAGCAGTAGGAAAGCTGCCTAGTAGACTATAGAATCAATGTTGTTTATAACCAATTCCTCCTTTATCTCACATTTGCTCATCCTTTAAAAGATTATAGCAGTATTTTATTTGTTGTGGCTTTTGCCTTACAAGAGCAGTTTGGAAATATTTTTCTTGCCTTTCATGAAATCTCATTACAGCAATTTTATAAGACTCTCCAGTTATGGCACAAAGGGTTCAAATGAATAACCCATCTTTGTCAACATAGAGCATACAAAATCCTAAGCGTGAAAAGAAAAATGTGCAATAGGGTTTCTACATCCAAGGCAGTCATGGCATATGAATATTAAAATATTGTTTAATAAGTAGGACTGCAAACCCTTCGATTTCAAATATATTTTACCCAAATAGTCTGAAACTTAGTTCTGTAATGGAGCTGAGAAATAATGCATTTCTTTATTTTATATAAGAAATAAACACCAAGGAATATAAGAAACAGACTTGTGCTGGTTAGTCACGTGTCAGACAAAAAACGTTCTTTGGTTCTTCTTTGCTTACCAAGCAAAATGTTCACCATAAATAAGAACTGCATTTTGCCTTCATTGGTGTTTTGTTTTATAGCATAACACTCAACTTTCAACAATCCCTAGCAAGCTTGATTATCTGGAGTAAGTATATAGCATCAATTAAGAATGCTGTCAGTTGAAAAATAACAGAAAACATCATCTAGAGTAGTTTATTAAACATTAGATAACTCATATGACACACATATATCAAATTTTCATATTGTATCCATTATAAATATGGTTGTTATGTGTACATTAAAATTTAAAAGGAAGTCGTTTTGAGGGAGGCAACATGCATTGGCTCAGGGATTTGAGCACTTGGGGAATAGTGTGTGTTTAAAAAACACTGAACTCATCTAGGGGATCTCTCATGATGGATTCCTCACAGTCACAATCTGGATTCACTCATCTTCAAAACTCCAGCACACCAGTCACGGAGAAAGGAGAAAAAGTTACGTCAGCCTTTATGTCAGGTAAATCCTTCAGAGCTCTAAGGAAATTTATGCTTAGGTCTCATTTTCCAGAGCTAAACCATAGTCTCTCTCTCTCTCTCTCTCTCTCTCTCTCTCTCTCTCTCTCTCTCTCTCTCTCTCTCCTCCCCCCCAAAATAACATGAGAATTTAGCTTTCTCAACTGTTACAGTTACAGTTGATAATGAAGAAATGGATCTGAAATACACAAATATGACCTCAAAGAAATAGATGTTTATTGGAAGATTAGATAATAGATAACAGACAGAAGAAGGAAAGCAAGAGAGAGGGAAGGGAGAAAGAGAGGAAGGAAGAGATAAAGAATTAAAATAGTGCAATTGTATCCCACTGTGATTTTAAAATAGAGAAATCCGGTACTCAAAGTAAGAAAGAGGAGTAACGTGAAGCCACAGTTTAAGGCTTTCCAAATGCATCCAGTGAGGAGACATCAGACACACACTGTGTCAGCAGTCAGTATCAGCAGCAGCTGAAGCAAACGGACAGAGAATATGTAGCAACTGCAGTGAACATTAAGAGCCTCTATATTTTGTCAATTGTCAAGTCAATGGAAAGCATCAGGTTAGCTACTGCTATGAAAATTGACCCAGCTCTGAGTACTCAAACTTCAAAATGAGAACACTGCGTGAATAACGTAAGTAATGTGCCCAAGCTGCTTTCTTAACACCTCCTTTGGAAGAACTATATTAATACAAGTTATGTATTGCTGGAAATTACTTCCAACTATTTTGAAAGTGTTCATAAGTATTTGTGGAGCCTCCTTCTTTTATTCTGAGTCAGTGTCACACAGTATATAAACCAAGCAGGTTGTATGAATTTCCACAGTATCAAGCCAGCAGCTTCAACTTGTAGACTACTGCTATTCCCTCATTCCTCATCACTCAAGGCTGAAATCCTACGCCCCCTCTTCCTGTCCATCTACCTGCTTGAATGTCAGGTCCATAAGGATGGAGGCACTGGTAGTCCTATTGGCTGCTGAATCCCTCGTGTTTATAACCTTGACTGATACAAAACAGTCATTTACTAAACGCATTATTTTATGAGTAGGTAAAAATTAATCTACTGTAGACCCATTATCTGGCAGGAGAGAATTACTCTACTTCAAGTTCAAACTCAATGAGTTCTGTAAAACTACAGTCACATGGGTTCCACAGCAATAAATATTACATCCTTCTTCACAAAATAATTAATTGATCAGAAGAATTAGATTAACATTTAAGAGTGTGAACCATATGCTTAGCTTTTGCCTCTATTGCCAAGCCCAGAGGCTGACATATAATAAATGTTTATAAAATGCTTCATATGGAGTGACTATCAAAGTGATGGAAGTAAATTTTCATTTAAATCCATTTAATTGGCATCCTTCTAGTGAACAGTCAACCCCTGAACTTCCTTCCAGAAACTATTGCTGAAGTTCAAAAGAATTCAGTATTTCAACCAAAAGGCTGATGAAAATCTCAGAAGAAATTCATAAGACCCAAGATGGAATGGAGCATCCATGCACATGCACATGTACATTGTGAAGCAATTTTTCCAGATCACTCTAGACTAGGAAAATAAACTATTTCCAAAAAGAACAAAAGATACTCCCAAGAACCCTCGAAGTTTCTCTCTAAGCATATCAAATAACCTCACAAAAAGAGGATTCCACAAAGTCACATTCCTTTCAAAATTGTATCTATGTAACCCCAGTAAATTTTTTAGTAATTAAAAATGAAGATAAACTACTTTTTGTGTCTAGGCAACTTAAAAAGCCTGGTTTCATTGACAATTCCCATTTTTACCTACTATTCAAAGTATCTTTAAAGTACAAACTAGCGATTCACACCATGGTACACACAATTTTACAAAGCAGCAGAAGAAGTAAACAGATAAATTTCAACTAGTCATACACTGAATTATAGAAACTGAATTATAGAAACACTTTTCACACAGACTCTTCTTTTACACTTGTAGCATTTTTATTATGGTGCATGCAAACATACCTAAGTAACACATCTCTCTTATTGATTCCAATAAACCCTTGAGAAGTAAAATGGACTATATGCATTAAGTGCACACATGAAGACATTTTTAATTCAGGCATTTTACTCCATGAAATCAAAAAGGAAAAAAAAAAATCCAGAGAAGACATAGAAACAAAAGATAGGAATACGTCAGCTAGAAAGCAGAAGGCTGGAGCGTTAACTGAACATTACCTTTTCTCAATGACAGGAACATGCATCATGGTCATTTCTGTCTTTTCTCACAGTGCTGATTTCAAACCCCCAGCTGAGAAGGCAGCTGTGCAGAGCCAGGAACTGGTGCGCTCAGCAGGAGTCCTGCATCCTAATGCTACTCCCAGAAATTCAGGCTGGCTTTCAGTTGCCTGTTGTCAGTAACAGTGCCAGAAATGAAAAATGTTGTCCTCTTTTTCCGCAGCAGTGGTACAGAGATCACAATGATGGCTTCTCTAAAGACTCAAAAACCTGCATCACCTTATTTTTATTGTTATTTGTTTTCAATTTAGCCTCCCAAGAACAAGGATTGGCTAGATTTCAAGATGTTTGAAATTCAGGAGCGCTTCCATTAATCATAATCTTAATGGAATACTAATGGCAAAACAGACAGGAAAGTCGAAGCATATGGGGAGGGAGTGTGATCGCTTCCCTCCTATCCATATGCCAAAAAAGAAGAAGAAAGAAAAAAAGAAGAGAAGGAAAAAAAAAGAAAGACAAATTTCACTGTTACACTACGATGTTTTTCCTAGATTGCAACACTGAAACCCTTACCTTTCATAAACAAAGGAATTGTATTTCACATCTCTGAAAATAATAAGAAAACATTAACTGCAAACTAAAACAAAGCTCTATTTCTTAAAAGCCAGTGAAAATGGAATTTATTTACATCTGCTTCCATATAGTGGCATTAAAAATGTTTTATGAAGTACTCAAGCAATGACTTGAACAATAATTACCAGGAAAGTACTGAGAAACCTAATGTCTGCAGTTGCTAGCTGCAGGGTATGATTAATGCCAGGAGATTGTCAGAAATGAATGCAGCATGTCACATTCAAAGGTAGGCATTCTAGTGGCGGTAAGCATTTAATAGCAGAGGAAAAGCAACTATTTACATATCTAAAAGCATGACAGATTTAATATCTATACATGCTTGATGTATAAAATTACATTTATACTTACAAAATATACATTTGTGTTGCTGGGTATATCTAAGGACATTTGGTTGTAATATTTAAAATAATATTTAATGCATCTCACAATTTTAAACACGTACTTCACTGAGTACAAGGAGTGAGCATTTTTTACCTCAAAGCTGCAATTAGATATAAAAGTTAATACAAAACACTCGACAGAAGAATAATTAAAAGTCACCTCAGGGTTGCCCTCCACTTCATATCTACTTCATGTTGCAACTTACTTTGGAAAAGACTCAGAGGTAAAAAAAAAAAACTAACATTCAGAAATTTTGATTTACCCATGTGCATCCGTAGAATAAACAATGTCTAGAATATTATCACTCTAACTTAAAGCCAACATTATATAAACAAAATCCCATTTCACTGTTGATGCATCTTCTTTCAAAAAATTGCCTTTTTGTGTTACATGAAATTCCAACCAAACACAGTTGGAAAAATAGTAATCTGATACACGCCTATTGGTGAGCAACAAAGCATCACAAATTTCAGAGTGTAAAGCAAAATGGATATCTCATCTGGAAATTTCAAAGAATAAATTACTTAAGATTTTGTCTAGAACTCATCATTTCTAAAATTTTCACATATTGTTTTTAATATCAGAAACAATATTCAATTTGGTCCAAAGATGCTAGTTAATCTAAAAAAAAAAAAACTGAACAAATAGTTGTTGAGAATTTGAATAATACAGTAAAATCTATAATGCTAATATTTTAGAAAATTTTCCTCACTGTGACCCAAAATAATTTCAGATGGACCACGTAGTGAAATTTAATAGTAGAATCAATTCGGCCAATTGAAATGTTGCATAAAAATAAGGTGGGTTGGAAGGCACAAAGCAAAAGATCTGCTGAACTGTATAAATCTTAATACACTAAAAATGATTTTTTAATTAATGCATACTATTTGTACATATCTATGGGACAGGGCATGAAAATCTGATACATGTATGCAAGCTGCAATGATCAAATAAATGGAATCAACAATTTCATCTCCTCGGCATTTATTATTTCCCTGCCTCTAGTCCACACCATTCTTATTCCTGCAATCTTGTTTTAGCATTCACAAATGAGTGAGAAAGTGGAAACTACTTTTAGACTGTACTGTAAAAGTACCCTGAAATTACTAGAGAGCTAACATAGGTTCAGTAAGGTACCTGACCTCAACAGATTAATTAAGATAGAACATGAACACATACTTAAGGAAGATACATTCTTAACAACTCAGCCTTAGTCAGGTGGTGCACACCTGTAATCCCAGAACTCGAGACACTGAGGCAGGAGAAGCACCATGAGTCTGAGGCCAGCCTGGGCTACAAAGTGAGTTCAAGGCCACCCTGAACTGCATAGTGAAACCCTGTCTCAAAAAAAAAAAAAAATCAGTCTTACAGATAATTATAGAAAGTCAAATTAAGTTAAAATTTAGATCCTTTTTACATATCAAATAATTTTTAAAATAACCACAGCACAGTATCATATACTCTCATTGATATTTAAAATTGGTGTATTTCAATTGGGAAGAAAAATTTGACAGTAGGAGAGATCAAAGAAAACTGCTCACATCTTACATTCTAACAGCCGTATCTGGGATTCTATTTTTATGAAAGCTATATTTACAATAGTGCTTAGCACATTACATCATAGAATTATAAAGCGGAAAACGCTAAATGGAGAACATTAAGTACCTTGCACCACGACACATAAAACTTACTTTGTCCCAGGCAGAGGTCTTCGTGGTCTTTGAATGGTAGATTTCAATAGCTCACAGTGTGACAATCCATTATGGGTATGATGTAGCCAGTCTAATGATAGTGTGAAAAATGTAAACACAGTAATACCTACATGAAAAACAGAAAGAAAATGTACAGGAGAATGAAACTCCCAAACTGCATGTCTGGTATGAGTTCCTGTTCTCTAAAATCAAAGAATGAATTTTATGAACAATGGAAGTTAAGATTTGAATATATTTGTTGAAAGAAAGAACACTTCTGTCTGCGAGAGAGACAGAAGGGGTCTGGAGCATGTTGCCAAAGACTCTATTTTCTAGGGACTTTTATGTAGCAAAACCACAGTGAGACAGTGAGATGGGTCCACGGTGCAGGGGGAGAGGAACTCACAAGGTGAACATGAGGCTGGACAGAGCTATGGTCAAGCAACAAGACTAATTTTTCAGGTAAAATTGACCAAATCAGGGACAAATAGGAAGGTGAGTCACACAGCAAGCGGGCATGCTTAAAGAGCAGTGCCTCTTCCTGTAGCAGGTTGGGATGGTGAGTCCTGGCTTCCTCGGGGTGACAGAGACCTATTTAGACTGTCAATCCTCATGATGTGGGTGTATTTGCTTGGCCTTTTGTCTTGAGGTGTGGCCCAAAGTGGGAGTCCTCTGTCTGCTCAGGGTTCCAGGGTATCTGGTCTCCTGCTCTGGCTCCTTTGTGGGCCAGCCCTGTCTGACCACCTGTAATATTCCTAACTAACTCAGCTGCCTGTAACACAAGTATGTCAAGTGCTGTGATTTAAACACCATTCTGTTTATCTTCCCAGAAACTTCTTCCTTATTTTTCCTCTACTTTCTTAAAGTTCAGTAAATTATGTTTCTCACAAAAGTTTTTGTTAAAATATAAAAATGTTAAGAAGACATCCTTTCCTTCAGTTAAATACGAAATCTCAAGTATCCAATACACATTCTTTTGTTTATTTAGCAAGGAATAAATGTATATATCACCAACAAAAATGATGCATTTTACTACGTGACATGTTGCCTCTATGTTGACTACAAACAAAAGCTGTTAATTCACCCATTTAATTATTTGACTTACTGGTACATATGAGTAACTGATTTGTGTGCCTTGATAAATATTTAATACACAGAACAATCTGGTCATTGATTTCCCTATCCTCATTCTTTCATTTATTGTGTCTGCATTCATTTTATTCGTTATTTAATCAAATGTAAGTTGAATTACTTTCATTTTCCAGACATTTCCCAAGGCTGGGTGTCAGGAAGGCAGAATTAAATAAAATGAACAGCCAATTGGAAAGGAGTTCACTGGAAATGAAGAGAAAGAGGTATCCTCCTTGCTCACACGCAGATGCAGCCATGGGATCAGAGGCTTGGAGACCCATTCTCTGGATAGTAATTTGTAGTGGAGGGTGGATTGCTTAGGGATGACTGCAAGGTGAGGCTTACCATGAGTGTTAAATGGTAGCACATGTTTGTTGGGTGAAGGAGAGAAGGAAGAACTCTTCAGGCTGAATTAGAGCAATTAAGAGCTAAAATGAGAAAGACAGGTAATGCTTCCTGAAATTAAGAAAGCTGGGATCGATGTGGGTGTAAAGGAAGGATTTGTGAAGAGAGTAGCCCTTGCCCTAGAGCACAGACAGGGGAGAAGTTGTGGGATAACTGCACACGCTTCTGTGCTAGCCTGGGACTTGGTGGAGAATATAAATTTTTAAGGATCTATTTGTTTGTATTCATAGACACATATCATGTAATTTAGAAAGCACAATTTTAGTTCTGGGCTACAGATAGTTTAATGAATTGCAAATTAAAGCAGAGGTCTCCTGTGGCAAGCAATCATTTCTTTGGTGGTAAACTGCCACTTACTGTAGAATCTTTCTTGAGCCCGAGCGTGCACACACAAAATGTCAGCTGAAAAGAATAAATGAGAACCTTTCTGGATTGATCAGTGATCTCATGAAGATAACACCTGTCTGTTAGGATTTCCCCCATAGCACTACAAAGGGATTCTTCACATACACCACTATGTTCTGTGTTCTCTGAATTCAAGAGTTGGGCCAAATATATATTTTTTTTTACAAAAAGTAAAAGGTAATGATTCTTTGACATTAACTAGCTGAAGAAAAAAAGAAGATCAGTCAGATTTTGATGAAGAAAAGTTTTGCCAAGTTCCAAAGGTATAAAAATACAAAGCGTAGGGAAAGATACATTTGAAACTTTAAATTGGGTTTGGAAGCATTGCAGGCATCGATACATATGGCAGGCAAACAGAGCACAAGCCAAAAGAGGCAAAATGAGTGTGAGAAGGTGTGAAGTTTGATCGTGCATATGGGGAACATTAGCAAAGGGAATAAAAAGAAAATATCTGTGTAGAAAATGGGCCACATTTGTATAGGCACGGGAGCCCAGGAGGGAGCAGTTTGGAACAGAACGAAGAACCAGACAAATCCCAGTTGAACAAGCACTCTTAGATTTTATTTGATTTTTATTCTTCCTCTGTGCCTTAAAAATGGCCTTTTACATCTTTATCTAGAAACATCTCCTTTATATTTTCCATTCCTCTAGCAAAAACTTGGGAGGAAAGACTTTTCGTACAGTAGAGTTAAACCTAAGTGAGCTAGGAGGCAAAATTCACTATTTATCCTGGTCCTATTGCATGTTTAAAATCATGTTTTTATATTAATGGTTGACAAGTATACTAATGGGAAACAAAACAAAAAATGCAATAGAAAGGCTCCTGTATGTTTAACGGATGATTGAGAATTTTCTTTGACTATATTGTATATTTTATTGTTATTCTGAAAGGAAGAAAGAGTATTCTGTATGTCTTATTTCAAACTGCCCTAGGTAAGGAATTAATTTGTAGCATGCATTCACACAGGACAAAGGTATTTCAGGTTTTCAATGTTACCATCCTTATTTAAAAGTAAAGACTCATGTGGTGACTAG